GGGGGGCGGGGTGGGCACAGGCGGCACCCCGCCTGCACGGCGCGGGGAAACTGAGGCAGGGCCCCGCCACGCCCCCACCAAGTGCAGGTGACCCCGGGCTGCGACTGACGGGCCCCGGCCCCGGCCTCCCCCATCAGGGGACCCTGCCCCAGGGCTGAGGCTAGACCAGGCCTGGCCTTTGCGCGGCTGTGAGGGCCCGGGAGCAGCAGAGCCGGGTGATAAAAGCACCCCTGGGTTTCTTTCTCCTGGGGATGGCGCCACAGGCCGGCACAGCCGGGCGGGTAGCAAGGACTCGACTCAGCCCAGGGAAATGGCGTGATGTCCGGCTCCGATTTCTCCCTGGGACGAAGCCTTTGATTCCGGGATCCTGCAGACCTGCAAGCCCGTTGCCCCCCTTTTACTGCCCCTGAATGACGGCGATGACTCTTTCTCTCTACAGAGACTAATCTGAGTTTATTGCCCTTCGAGCCGCCTGTGTACACAGCCGGCCCCACCTGTTTGGGTGGGAGTCGCAGCCTGGGAGAATCACGCCCAGGACAGACCTGTTTGGTTTTAGCCGAGGATCCCGAGACGCAAGGCTTTCTTGTCACCTGTATTTAGCCTGACAGCAGTGTTGTCTGCACCGCGCCCGGGTTACGCGTGCCCTGCCCCAGCGCTGGCCAAATCGCAGCGGGCCGAGGAGACTGAACCCAACAGATTGATGTCAGCAAACCGGTTTCTGCTAATCGCTGTCCTAGTACAGGTTTCCATCAGGCCAGCCACGGTTTTGAGCATCCGCACTTAATGCTCTGCGTACCGTCTTGGCTACCACGGTATACAGTTTTGAGTAACCACGGTTTTCCGTGGCCGCACATGAGCCCGCCGCCACCTGCCGTTTTCCCCGCAGGCCTTCTGTCTGGCCAACCGCGGGAACTTCCAGGACCCGAACCCCGGTGGTTGGCAAGGGAAACCTGTACCCTTCGTTGCATTTAAAACACGCAAGTTCCCAAAAACGTTGGGAAAAAGTGTGCGTTTGGTTCTTAACGAGCGAAATGATAAATTAGGCCTTGCGCATGCAATAGCTAGTCACACTGAGTTCTAAGCAATTTAAAAAGAGGTTAAAAATAGAGATTAAATATATACTCCTGCCAGTGTTTGCGCTTCTGTAATGTCATTCTTCTTTTAAAAAAATCTTGAACAATCCATGCAAACCAAAAAGGGGCAAAGTGGCTGGGCAACAGGAAACACTGAGACTGACTACATAGCAAATGTCAAATAGAGACCTGAGTTTAACATTGGAATGTAATCGTTGTCAGCACGAACATTTGTTCTTACCTTGTCAGTTATCTTTTCCTAACTCTACACAGCTGTTATCACAGAGCTCTTTATTTACAATCCTTCCTTTGCAGACTAAAATCCTGGATGGGAAGAAAGTCACACTGAATAACAAGCAGAGTGCTGATGTCTGGGGGAGAGACTGAAGGACACACCGTTCTTGTTCAGCAACATTACCCGACTGCCTTTGATATGGAAGGCAGGACTTTAATCCTGTTCTGGAAGTACTAGAACTTTTTAGGCATCTACACCTTGTTTGCTGTTTTCTCCATTAAAAAAATCACTAATGATTCCTTATAGTAACTCAAAAATGCAGGACCAGCAATTGATGGAAAAACCTAACACCACGGACCGGATAAGCCAGACGACTTTGAAGGATCTTACTGCTGAATTGGGTTATATGTCCCTCAGTGAAAACAATGAGGGAAATTGTGACCCTAATGTAAATGAAATCAGGCATAAGGAAGAAACGGTGGATTTTGAAGTGATGCAGCAAAGCCTCTGCAGAGGGAATAATAGAGGGAAGCCTTGTGAAGGATTTTCTGGGAGCACAACTTGCACATTAGAACTCAGTGGTAGTTGGGGTGACTTTGAAGGTTTCAGCGAATCCTTATGCAAGTCAGACAGCTTCAACCACACATTTGAAGTTCTGGTGAAGTCAACAGAAGCTACTAAAACTGATGTGGATTTAAGTGAGGAATATTGCAGCTCTTCTCTGGGACACCCCTGCTCCAAGCTGTCTGTACACAACCAAAGAGAGGCTCCTTCTAGTTCTCTAAATGAGGTATGTATTGATAGAAAGTTAAAGCTTCTGCAAAAAAATTTAATAGCGTTTGCAATACAGTTCCCTTTGGGACACTAGAAACAATTTTTCAAATGTTGTACTCAGAGGACACGGTTTGAGGAGGAAAAAAAATCAATAATTTTGCTTTTAATTTAAAAATTGGTAAAAGTGTTATTATGATTTAATTATTATTTAAATTAGTTTAACATTTTAAAATTATTTTCAGTTATGTACTATAGAATATTATGTACCATTTTATTATTGTTTGATATATGTATAACATTGTAGTATGTTAGAGGCCACAACCAGATTTTTCTGGGGTAGGCATTGTATAAACCTCTAGTAAGCAACTGCCTTGTCTTAAGTCAGGGGTCAGCAACATACACCCTTCAGGCTGTGTCTGGTCTGGGGAAGTCTAACTCAGTCTGGGGCACTGGGTGGCCCACCCCCTCCAGAGCATCCTCCTCTAACCCTTCTTGTTTCTCATGCTGGTGCTCACACTCACTGCAAAGAGGCTGAGAGTAAGCACAGGTGAAGGGCAGAGATTTGTGGATTTTGTGCAGAGGAAAAAGGTTGTCAACCCCTACCCTAGACCATTTAACGTTTAGAAGACTAAAATTAGATATTTTAAAATTTAATTAAGTTGTTTAAATACATTTTATTCTAAAAATGAGCCCATATAAAATGAAATTTGAAAGCATGATAACCTATATTAAAGCTGTAACCTACTATATTTTGGTAAAAGTTTGGAAAAAATGATACAAGTCCATTTGTGACAGGCTGAAGGATAGCCAACATGATTTCGTTGTGGGCAGGTCATATCTGACCAAATTTAATCTCCTATGATCAAGTAACGAGCCGCTTAGATGTGGGGGAGACAGTTGATGTCATATACTTGGATTTTGAAAAGGCCTTCAATGTGGTCTCCCATGATGCTCTTATAAAAAAAAAACAACTGGGTGATTGTGGGCTGGCAGCGTCCACGGTCAGGCTGGTTGGGAACTGGCTAAGGAGTCAAACCCAGAGAGTATTAGTCTGTATTGTCCTGGCGGGAGGTGGCCAGTGGTGTCCCGCAGGATTCAGTTCTTGGCCCCGTGCTGCTCAACATAGAATCATAGACTAGAAGGACCAGAAGGGACCTGTAAGATCATCAAGTCCAGTCCCCTGGCATGGGCAGGAAGTTATTGGGCTCAATCGAGCTCAACGAGGTACTTGTTCAGCCTCCTCTTGAACACCTCCAGGGATGGTGACTGCACCAACTCTACCGGGAGTGTGTTTCAGATTCTACATACCCTAAAGGAAAATAAGTTTTTCTTTATGTCTAGCCTAAATTTTTCCTCAATTAACTTGTGCCCATTGGTCCTCATCCTCCCAAGGGGTGCCTTTCTGAAGAGTTGCTCCCCTAGATCTTGATATTCACCCCTGACATACTTGTAGGCGGCTATCAAGTCACCTCTCAGTTTTCTTTTACAGAGACCGAACAAACCCAGTTCCCAGAGTCTTTCCTCGTAAGGCCTATTAATGATTTAGATGAGGATGTGAAAAGTGCGCTGGCCAAGTTTGCAGATGTTACTAAGTTATGGGGGAAAGTGGTCACACTAGGGGGATAGGATTCAGATCCAAGTGAACCTGGACAAGCTGGAAAGGTGGGCGGAGCGGAACCAGATGCAGTTCAATAAGGATGAATGCAGAGTGCTTCATCTGGGGACAAGTAACCAGCGACATGAATATAGGTTAGGAGGAGATGTCCTGGCCCTCATGATGGCTGAAAGGGACCTTGGGGTTATGGTTGATCACAGGATGAACATGAGCTGCCAATGCGACGCTGTAGTCAATGGAGCTAATAGCATACTGGGATGCGTTAGCCGATGCGTTGAGCAGGGCTAAGGAAGTGATGCTTCCACTCTACTTGGCGCTGGTGAGACCCCAGCTGGAGTACTGTGTCCAGTTCTGGGTGCTGCACTTCAAAAAAGACATGGAGAATCTTGAAAGGGTCCAGAGAAGGGCCACAAGAATGATTAAGGGCCTGGAGGACAAACCTTATGAGGAAAGACTAAGGGATCTGGGACTGTCCAGGCTGGGGAAGACAAGACTGAGGGGGGACTTGGTGGCCATCTATGGGTATGTAACGGGGGGGAATATCAGGAGCTGGGAGAAAAATTGTTCATTAGGACGCCCCAGGGGAGGACAAAGAGCAATGGCCATAAACTGTTAGAGAATGGTTTCAGGCTGGATGCAAGGAAGAACTTCTTTACCATAAGGGTGACCAGAATCTGGTCAATGGAGATGGGGACTGCACCAAGGAGGTGGTGCAGTCCCCAACATTGGAAGTCCAAGAGGAGACTGGACAGACACCTTGCTGGGATCATTTGATCTCAGCTGTATTCCTGCCCAGAGCAGAGGGGTTGAATTCGATGATCTTTCAAGGTCCCTTCCAGCCCTTAATTTCTATGATTCTATGATGTACAATTTGTTAATTATTTAAATTTAGTAAATATTCTAGCAGGAAATGTTTACCAAAAAATATCAGGAATGTCAGACTACTGAACTGGATGAGGTCTCCAGGACAGTGCTTAGAAACTTCTGACAGTTGTAGCCTGTTCTGCAAGTGCAGAGAATATTTTCTTCATTTTAGTTTATTTGCTATTATGGACAAACATAGAGTGGAGAGGTTTCCAAAGGGTTGAGGGAGCTGCTACTCAAGAGCCCACAGCAACTGTTATGCTAAACTGGTATCTTGGTATAAGCATGTAGCCGTACAGGTGAGATAATCACCCCAAATTTGACCCCAGATGACACAGGGTTAAAGTTGGAGCAATTTAGCTACATTTGCAGCCCCAGAGGCTTACAGAATAACAGCTGCTTTAGCTTGATCCCCACCCCCACCTCCACTCCCACTGCCTCCTCGCTCTGGCCTTTTCAAGCCATGCCAGACATGGGTTTGTCCATACTCTCAGTGTAATTACTACCTTATTCAGAGCTGAAAAAGCAGGAAAACTTGTTTCCCTTTTCCAGTCTATAAATATCAAGTAGGTATGAGAAGCACAGATCTACTAACTTGCTTGGTGACCAGCAATAATCAGTTCATTTCACTGTCAACAGATAAGGCTTCCTTTGTTTAGTACATCAGCTAGTATTAAAAGCAACACATTTTCTTACATGGCCAGCACGTTTAATGTCTTTTTATTTAACCAACGGACAATGGATAAATACTGGTTTTCTGCATTTTAATTGAATGCCAGTTTCCGTTCAAAAATAGCTCGACTCAAATCATGAGTAAAATTAGCTACACAAATAAGAAATGCTGTTCTCCAGTGTCTAACATAACATAGAAACATTAACAATTTGAATCTAAAATCTATATAATTGCTTAAAAAAAAATATATATATATCTCAATCATACTCTGGTTAGCAAAATGTGTCAGATCTAATGTAAAGGCTATAAAGAGTGCAATGGCTAATTGCAAATCAACCTGTGTTAATGATTACCAGCCTGAGAATCATCCTTTATTCAGGAAAATAAAACCTAGAAATGCAAATTAAAATGTAAATAAATTATTACAACAAAGCTAGAAACCTTTTGGAAAAAGCTTTGATTTAAGGCAACCCACCCAGAACAAAAGGGATCTTTCTTTTAGCCTCAGTGAGCTTGGCTAAGTATTGCATGCAGTACTCAGTAACTAATCATAACCTGCTGTTTACCTGTTAGAATGTAGTTTTCCCTGTAAGTATAATGATTAATGACTGAGTTTTTTTAAAGGCCAGAACCATAAGGTGGAAGCTTTGTGGATTCTGCATGGGAGTTTTTCTGCAAAGGGTATCATGGGAGAGAGGAGGAAGGTGCTGGTAAGAGAAATGTTTGGAATCCAAAGCAAGACAAAGACGGGAACTGCCCTTGTGATAAGGTTACCAGCATTCATAGGTAAAGAGGATCTAAATTATTGAGGGCTTTGAAGATTAAGTCAAGAATTTTTTGTTTGTGGGAGATGGGAGAGTTTCTCCAGGGACAGACACATTCCTTGTAACTCCTGGCTGAAATAGACCATAACAAGTCACTGAATTTCTCTTTGAAAGCAGAATCTCTTTATGTTGTTACCAAAGCTTCAGTTTAATCTGTGTGGTTATTCAAGACAAATGGATGCATCTGATACCTATTACTTCATTGACACTCCTTCATTTGAATAATATTGTGTTGAGTTTTCTTTACTCTGTCTCAGGGCACTGAAAGGCAGTGTTGGAGATGCTGGCATAGATAACATTTACTAAAATGCTGTTTCAATTTAACCCTTTCTTTTACCTGTTAGATAAATTTATCTTGGGGATTTGTCTTAGGGTATGGACAAATGTACGCTTAATAGTGGCTTCAAAAGCGGAGGGACAGTTGCAGCCTAGGACCCTGGTTCATCCAGGGTCAGAGTTTCACTTGCGTTTCCACAGGACCAGGCACACAGTACAGTTACAGCACAAGAGTTGCTGTGTGCCGCCAAGCAGCAACTCCCCCATCACATTTGAAGCTACTAAAAATATACATTTGTCCATAATCTTAGACCAGGGGTTGGCAGTGTTTTTTGGTGGTGGGCCAGAATGACCCATTTCTGGTCTGAGGAAGGCTGGCACAAGGACCCAGCTGCCTCAATCACTTCTCACTAAGGGATCTAGTGAAGTCATGGGGGAGGTAGAAGGCACAGCGGCTCCTTTAACCTTCCATGTTCCCCTGTGCGCACCTCACACCTTGTCCCCACCTTCCTGCTTGCTGACTGGGGGAGCCGCCTGATCAGCAGGGAAGCTAAAATCATGATTTTAAATGTGGCGCTGTTTTTGCTCCCCAACCAGTCACCAGCAAGTCACCAGCAAACAGAAGGGCTGTCTGGGGCCCCTCAGCCAATCAGTGGCAGGAGGCAAAAATGACACTATATTTAAAACCTCAGTTTTCGCCTCCCTGCTGATCAGGAGTGAGTTGCAAGCAGGGCCCCTCCACCAATCAGCAGGAGGGCGGGGGG